CATACGTGGGTAATATTCAAAGAAACTATCAGCAACACATAATATGACGTTTTTTCAGCAGGAAGGCCAGCTGAAAAATTACATATGTGCTGCTTGGCAGAAAGAGAAAGAAAAATGCTCTCTGAAATGATTCAGGAAATAAAACTCATGAAAATGCATTAAGCAAAAAATTTCTTGTTAAATGCTAGACTAACATGACTGCTGAGAAATACTTCTCTTTTAGTAAGATCGGATTAGGTAAGCAAGTTAAGAAAGTACACCTTTTGAATAGTTTACTCGCAATGAATAGTAAAAGAAATAAGGCGATTTCTAGAGGGATGAATAGCAAAGAAGACTCATATCAGAGGGAACAGATGCGTGCCTGAAAGAACTTTTGGCCGGGGGGGTTGAATCACCTTATTTTGAACCTACTTATTAAGACTGAGCTAATGCTAGTTTTATGATTAACTTGGGTGCTGTTGAGACTGTTGAAATGAAAACATTTATATTTGGCAATAGTACAAAGTGAAACATTTCTGTGAAAGTCCCTAAGCTCCTCATAGGAAAGTGTATAATATTTACTCATAGCAAAGTGTACTGCGAGGTATCAGGACACACAAATCATCCTGTATATGCTTCAAGTGCACCAGTTCCTTACTTAAACGTTCAAAAATTCCTTCTTCTTAAATTCAAGAGATCTTTGAAATAATAAGCTCTTTCATAATAATTTGAATGGGTCCAGCCACTTAAATTAATAATAATATTAAATGAGCCATGTGAAACGAATTCTAAGAGATATTTTACATTCTTGTAAAATTTTATGCTGCTCTTCGTGTAATTTATTCGCTTTTTCTCCCTTTTAACTGTTGATTTGTGATTTATTTATTTGCATTGAATCCCAAAAATGTAGCAATTATTTTCCATTGCAAAATCCTTGATTACTTTTGACTGTAGAAAATATATGTTATAACTTTTAATTTTACAATGATTAAATATACGAACATTTTACCTGCATGTAAATACTAAAAGTTAAGTGTTTGTTAACAAATTTAATTACAGTCTATTATGTTACGATATATTATAATATACTTCTATATTCAAATAAGAATTTGGTATCAAAGTTGAAACTGTTGCTATGTTCCTTTGGTAACTTACGAATATCCCTATCTCATAAAACCGAATCGATGTACCAATTAATTTAGAACTTAATTTTAGGTGTTAAATAATTAAAAACTCTATTACAACATAAAAGTAACTTAAATATTAAAGTAGCTAAATGAAAGTTAGAAATTAAAGAAATTTTGAAGACATTGCATCGAAAAACAAGATAAAAGAGCAATGAGTAGCCACCAACGTTGAGATCGTGAATGAGGTGACAAATAATTAGTAAATTGGTAGCAGAATGATAATAAATTCAAATTAAAAAAATCAGCACAATCTAACACCTAAAGCTTTCTCGAGTTTTCGAAAACAAATTCATAACCTTTAGTCTTGGGCATGGTCATCCAAAAGCCAAGACGTCTGAATGAAGAGGAGTATTTGGCATTTTTATTCAGATGTCACAGCTACACAGTTCTCCCATACACTCTCAATTGCCGCTGGAATCTAGTTTCAAAAGTTACTGTTTCTCAGAGTGTTTTGCTCGAAGAATACATATGTGCAATACAACTCTTTAAGGATGCAGTTGACCCTCGGTTCCTTTTCATAAAAGGCAAAAGTTGGATTTAAAAATGAAAATATTCGGTATATGGACTGATCAACCATATTTTCAGATCTGCCTTCAACTGAACATTTCTCGGATGCACTACGGAGAATGACTGCAATTTTTCATCTGCCTCCAAGAACTAAAAACAGCTTTTATGTAGGAGGGTAATGATTCAATATAGACATACATCAATTATCTCATTATCTACATGAAGGCTCATTGTGAGACTTATGTATTTATTAAATCGGACGATACTCCCTATCAGATTTATTTTATACATCATCTTGTAACGTCACTTCCAAATAACCCTACATCCATGAACAATAATTACGATAATAAATGAGCACTTTCATTGTTTTAAGGTATGGACCTGCTACCTTGTTATCTTATACTCAGTATCCATAACAAATTGCATATAATTCTGTTCAGTATTTTCCGAGTGTTTAATGCAAATATAATTTCGCTCTATCTAATTACATTTTGAATTAAGACTTCCGTATTTTTTCCTATTTTTCAAATGTTTTCTCGGGTAAAAAAGATAAAAATGTAGGAAAAAAGTAAAGACATTTCAAACGTCACCACCGTGAATGATTGTTGGGTTGAACGTTGTTGCTCTTTGTTAGTTCCATTCGTTATATATATTTATATGTATCAAAATCGATTTGTTTTAATGCCAAAGTTTTTTCTAAGACTGCAATTGAGATAAGTTTCAGTAAATATAATTGAATTCATATTAATTTTCATTTTCAGTTTTTAATTTTCCTTCTTAACAAAACGTCTCTGATATAGTGTTATTAGTATGATAGAATTATCCCTTACAGATTTGTAAAATTGCTTAGAACTGTTAGACTAAAAGTGTTTTCTAAAAGTGCACTTGTTCCTTTGCGATATTTTAATTGGCATTAAAAAGCACAAACGATTAATTAAATTAGGTTAACTAAATTACAAAGAAGAGAGAAATATGTATGTCACGGCTGATGTAACATAAATTCACTTTCAGTGGTCTTTTTAATTTTTTCATCACTACCTTTTTGTTCTGGGGGTGAGTAAATTACGCGCATTTCTTTCAATGGCAGAATACAGTTCTCTTTTCGTTTTTTTTACTAGCAAAGCCTGTTGCTAATGAATGTTTTAGTTGTAAATGATGACAGTTATTTACAAAATTGTTTGTGCTATGTCAAAGTTGAAAACTGCTCCTTCACTATTCATGAAGAAAAAAATTTTAGAGGAGCGTAACATGGATATCTGATTTCATGGATGGCTTAAGTACACAAACATACTGCTATGCATTTTCATAAATAGTGTTAATAATGACAAATGTTTGCTGCGTAAATATGGATGAAATTAGACTTAATGTTATTGAAATTACTTTATATTGCGTATGTTTTACGCACAGCGATGGGATGTCATAGGAACCAAAGTTCATCCATATATCAGGAAAATTTAGGAGATAATTTGTTTTAAGAATCCGAATATTAGCCATATTTCGAAGATACTCATATTTGTTGTAAGCATCCAAAATATCAGCAAAATTCTGAAGAACACTAACATTTATTCTATGGATCCAAAATTATCCAAAATATCAACCAACTTTCAAAGATATTCAAATTTGTTTTAATATTTCAACCAGAAGGTGAGATCTTTGAATTTTTTGATTTGAATGACTGATTCTAAATGCAGAAAGCTAATCTCATTCCCTTTTATTTTCCCCTTTTTCTTTCTTTTTTTCCTTTGTTAATTTTTTAATTTTGTTTTTACTTTTCACACTTTTTTAGTACACTGCATTGATTTGTTAACAGAGAAAATGCATGAGAAGGTTTTAAAGTTTGATAAATTTTGACATATACTCTTTTTCAACAGAAATTATTATTGTATTCCTTTTTGTTTGTATGATCTCTAACTGCGATTTGTTTCACATAATACACAGTTATATGTGAAATATAGTACTTGTTGGCCATTTTGAGCATAGCATGTTATTTAGATTTAATGCAATAAAGATATTTTTCTTTTCTTTTCCTTTTTGTCAATACGTATTTCAATAAATAGATACCAGAAACAATATGATAACAGATTTAAGAGACTCAGAAACAGAGCATTGTTTTGGTTACAGTAGTTTAGGATATAAATAAATAAATATTTATTTTATAGTTTAAAAATAGTATCCCTAAAAAAAATCGGAATTGAAATTTGCTTCTGGAATTGAAAATTTATAGGAATAAAACTTTCAGATTTCAAAGATGGGATTAAATATATATTATTACTTATTTTAGTTCTATTATAAATAGATGCAAAATATATTTTAATTGTTTGATATGCTGAAACTTACATTTTCGTTTATGTTTCTTACACCATCCGTTACGTCGCAGACTAGTAGTTACGTAATGTGATATTAGGCATTTAAATAATAATCCTCAGACTTAATTTTACAATAAAGTGATAATAATAATATATATATCTGAATAATAAGAATTCAAATTTATCTTTGTTTCAATCATGTACTGCTCTAATACTTAATACTTTCTAAAGTTTTATACGTAAAGATTTAATGTTTAATGCAAAAGTAGGCTTCATTTCATAAAAAGCGTAAATGTATTTCATACCTGAATTCTACGAGCTATAGTTCAAAACAAAGGTCTAAAAATTTTATTAAAGGCATAAAAGTATTTTCAAGTCTCGTCTTCAGCATCCGAATAAATAAAAGTTTTATTTCATTCTCTTAAAACCGTGCATTTAAACCTATATATTATTTTCTACAAAAAGCTAATTCTTCTTAATAATTCGCATGCAAGTAAGAACCTCTAAATTTTTATTTATTTTCCTGTTTTCATGCAAAAAATGCTTCTTACTACTCATCTAAATTTTAGTAATGCTTCAAATGTTCAATCGTTTCTAATTTTAATCGTTCCAAATTCCAAGCGTCGTTTTATAAAGCTGAATTGAGCATTTTTAGCGCGATTTTTGTTCCTTTTTGCAAGAATGGCCCTAGCATGCATTATGCCCATGCCGAATATCCTTATAAAGTGATGTACCTCTCAGAATATAAAGGCCAAAAAGTCATTATTTATTAGTTTAACTTATTTGCAAGAGGCTAAAATAAACTAGAATGCCACCATGCAATTGTTAACGATAGGGCCGGATTAGGCTTGGCAAAAGAGGATAAATCAAGCCTAAAATTTAGATTATGACAATATCCGAGAATTATTCCCGGACCATGAGGGCCCTAATGCTTTTACATGACATAAAACTGAATTTAAAAAATTATATTTGGACTTGGTTTATCCTCGGATTGAGCTGGTGTATCGATTTTCCAACTTACCAATTTTAACCAGATATTTGAAATTATTTGTTGGTTCTTTTCGTCCTATAAGAGGGGAAACGAAAAAAAGAATATAAAGTAGAGAATCATTCCAAACACACAAACTTTTTTTTCAAGCACATTGTTGCTCTTGTGCAGGCCTGAAAACAGGGAACGCAAAAAATTATAAATAAACAAGGGGGAGTGGAAAATTGGGTTCTCAATAGGAGAAAAAACTAAAGTAACAGATGGTTCTATAAATTAGCATAGTGGACGAAAGGAAAATAGCTTGCCAGTAATTGCTTCAATAGCCAAAAACGCGAGTTCATATTTGAGAATAAATTTCCAAGCGACAAGCTTTCTTTTGTAAAGTTTTTTTTTTTTTTTTTTTTTTTTTTTTTTCTAAAAATTTATATTAGTAAAATAGGCAATATATTTTCCCTAATCCACGCAGCATACATGAAATAGTGAATAACGTTTCAGGATCAGGATTTATTTATTTTTTTTTTTTTTATTTCTTGCGCTTTTGGCTAAGAATTCGGTTCGTCTGTTTTTTGTGTGTGTTTTGCGACGGTTTAGAATGAAACAACTTACCAGATTTAACCAAATGTTTGACGTTATAATTTGATTCTTTTCATCCTGAAGGTGCAAAGAGAAAACAAGAAAAAAGTATCAAAAACATTCAAAGAAGGAGAAAAAAGATATGTGCAAGTTGTTCGTCTTGTCTGCAAAACAAAGCAAAATAATCTCGCTTCTGTTCTTTTTAATTTTATTTTTATATATTTTTTATTAATTAATTTTTTTACATTCCAAAAAATGAAAAAATATATACACCTAATTCTGTTTTTGCATAGAGTTTTGTATACGATTTTTGTTTGAAACAGGCTGGGAAGAAAACTCCATTTTTCTTTCTCTAGTCTTATTTCAATCCAACATGATGCAGTGAATCTTTTTTCTAAATTTTTTCTTTTGAATTTCATTATTGAAGCACTCTTATTCGAGATAAAAGTTGCTAGAATATATTTTTATTATAAACATACTTTTTTAATGATTGTAATACTTTAAGTACTTTTAAAAGTTCTCATTGTACACTAAAATGTTCAAAAACGAAAACTAAGGAAATGTAATTATAAAATACGCCCTTGGAAAACCTATTTTACGTCTGATATACGAACTTAGTTCTCAAAAGACTTTCATATGACCAGAGAGATTTAAAATGTTTATTTAAACAAATATGCCTGTTGTCGGAAGATGTCAAAAAATAGTTAACATGCTTCAATATGTAAGTTTTTTTTCGTTTTTGTATTCGCACGTTAGTACCAAATTACTTTCTTTAAACACTTCAGTTTTTCTTAAAATGAACAACATAATTATCTTTATAAATTTATGATTTAAAGTATGCGTCACTACATAAAAATCATACGAAAGATTAAATTAATGATTTTGTTATGATTTGCTGGAACTTATTTTCTGTAATAATTTCTCATCATCTAGAATCCCCGATTTGTTTTTACCGTATGCGCTAAATATATTCTACTCCGTTTATGCTACCTAGTACATTTGAAAACCTAACTACAATATAAAAACAGAATTAGGTGTTCTTTCTTTAACCACTTCAGATGTCAGCTTAGTAGAATAAGCTTATACTGAAATTTACAGTTACAAAATGATAAGCAACAGTTGAAACCATAAATAACTCATTTACCATTTATTTGTTTCCAATATATGTACTTTCGTTTGAAAATGTAATTTCAGTTATAGTACATATTTAAATAATACATATTTCTTTTAAAACTAATGCAAAATATGTGCTAAAAATATTTCACTCTTTAAAACAAATTTGTAATAATGATTTTAACTTATTTTCAAATAAATGAAGTTGTTCTTCTAATACTTCAGCAAAATTTGAAAAGTGTGCATTAATTTTATAAATTAACATCATTAAAAACTGCTAAAATGGCAGTTAATTTTGAAAAAAATCAGTTTAAACTGAAAATTAATACATTTTTATAAAGACAAGTAAACTCATTAAAGGAACCGAGTATAACCGAATTTTTAGTAACGGTTTTTCTCTCAAAGTGAGAATTTAGGAGTAAAGTTTACTTTTTTAGTTAAATGTGAATAAAAAATTTAACATATGTTTTTCGTATTAAGGCATATTTAATTTTATGTTCAGATTTCAAGACGTCATATAAATACGCTTTAAAAATTTACTTAACTGTAACCGCAACTAACAGAATCTGAAGTAGTTAAAAGAATAATTTGTCATTTGTAATTGTTGTTAAATGTCTGTTATTTCATATATTATTCAATTTAATTATTTTTTACAAAACACACTGAGGGAAAAATTTCAGTCTTTGGTGTTAAAAAATCCTACATTCAGAAGCAAAAAAAACCTGAATTTTCGTTTGGGATAAATTGATGATATCAGTTGACATTAACTACCAAAATAATTTAAAAATAAAAACAGGTAAATTGACAGTACAAAAATGTTATTAGGAAAAAAAATACAAAAAGTTCAAATAATATGCATCAAAACCATATGAATTCACAATACACAAATATTATCGCAAAAAGAATCAATATTCAAATAGTATACACACGAAATACATAAAAATTAAAGAAATTAATAAATGTATATTGTTAGAGCAACTTTAAATCACTTATACACATATAAAATGTACGAGTAATAAGAAAAAAAAAAACAATTTGCATATAAAAAAATCAAGCTCCTGAAAGGAAGAATTTTACTTAAAAACATATCATAATTAAACAATTACAGCAATGTACTTAAATGCAAAATAATAACGATAAGGAATGAACAAGATTATTATACTTTTATTAAAAAGATAAAAAACATTCAGCACACTTCTTAACATATTACACTTGAGGCATAAAATTCTGAAGTATTTAAAATGCAAATCTAAGTAACATTATTAATATATATTTGTTAAATCTTAAAAGGTATGAAGTGCAGATATTAGCATATTAACATACATACAGCATAAGGTTCGGATTTCGAATAAATTGTTAAATTATACATTCGTTAAATATTTGTTTAGTTATTTGTACTTTGTATGTATTTTTATAAGCAGAAGAGCTTTATCCTTAAGATATGCAGTTATTTTAAGGATTGCTGAAAATATCAGGATATATACTTGTATGAAAAATAGAATTTGTATAAATAAAAAAAGAATGTCTATTTAATATACTGAGGTTTTATATTTAAAATTTTGAATTCTGAGTACTTGGTAACACTTCACTATAACGATTTTGAAAATAAGTTTTTAAATCTAGAGCTACATATTCAATCTTCAATGCATTCCGTCGGAAAATTTTCAATCTTTTGGGAAGAATTTACTACATAAAATATTGTTTCCTTAAAATGTAAAGGTTGAGTTTAATATGTTGCGAAAATCTGTTTTCCACTAACCTTTTGATACTGAAATCCGCTGTTTTATCATCGGCTCCTTTCAGCAGACTCAAAACGCTCGAAATAAATATGAAGATTTAACAAAGACGTAGCTAACAATGATTCTAGTTTTAGGTGCTGTAACTTATAATAGAAATAAGATTGAAACTGCAATAATCGATCTTGTGTTTTTTCTTTTTGTAACAACGAAAGAAAGTTCAAACTTTGTCAATACATTATTGATAATCATGTGGAAGCTTATATTATTATTGATAATCATGTGGAATGCATCTTTCAAGTAATAATATTATTTTATTAACAGTGCAACAAAAATACTTCTAAACTTTTCAATGGTATGAGCATTATAATAAAATTTTTGAAGTTTGAACAGCTTCGTTCTTACTAATAAATGTCAGTATTATAATTACTTGTATATTACAAATTTTCGCATAAGAATAATATTTTTAATGAATTTGAATTGCCTATTCAACATTACTCCTAAGGCCAGAAGTGGCTATTTTATTGTGGAGGCAACTAGTAGGCGGCCATTTTTGCCTCTTATGAAGGGACGGACAGGTAAACCATACCTCCTCCGGGATCCGAACCCGGGCCTTTCTTTATCGCAATAGGCTCCCCCCAACAGCATTACCGTCTGGAAGGTCATAAGAATAAATAAGTATATATAAAATGCTTTTTCTTTTAAACGGTCTTTGTTATATGCACCGAGCAATAAAAATATCAAATTATTAACTATCTCAATATTCTTGGTGGTATGTAATTAAAAAGAAACTGATGGGCATGCTAATAATAACGGATTTAAATTAAGATGAAAGGGTATAAATGCTGTCACTTCTGTTGTTTCTAAAATGTTAAAATTTCTCATACTGTTCCAGAATCTTTTACATATAAGTCCAACAGCTTTATTTCAGCAATTGTGTTACTGCAGCTATTTTATTAATAAAAGCTTGTTATTTAAAATTTATGTTAAATGTATTATATATTATAATTTTTAGTTAAAAAAACAGAAAAATAATAGAAAAAAATCATTGCTTCTGAATAGCACAGGAAAATTAATGCTTCTATCACTGTAAAAACGCAACAATATTACAAACGCATAACAATATTACAAATGATGTAATAATGCTATGTATTCAGAGAACCTAGCGGACTTTGCCAGACAGACCAACCTTCAATTCTCTTAAATTTCTGTCTTAATTTAGAAATCCATGTTCTACATTCGTTCAAATCGTCGAGTTGCTAACATTGAAATTTTAATCCTTAATTTAAAAACCAGCCTTCATTTACAGCCGAACAATAGGTAAAAAAAAATGTTCGGTTAAAAAAACAATCCCATATTTTAATAATTCATTCGGATGAGTATTTTATACTCTAGCCGACGATGCACAGCTCTAAATTCTGGATTTATATCAGTCTAATCATCATACAAGGATGATGAGAAAAAATGGTACTAAATTAATTACAAAGTCATCTAAATTACGAACACATTTTTTATATATTGTATACTATCCTTTCAGATACACATTTTTTTAATCTCATATTCTCTTGATAGAAGGAAGTGAAGAAATAATTTAAATTTTTGCTTAAACAATAAAGGATAATTCCGGTTCAATAAAATCCTAGTAAGAAAAAAATG